CCCCCCCCCCCCACCCGCCCCGATATTTCCTTCGCTGTGTGTGGACCTCATCTGAACCTGCGTGACTTGCAACCATCGCAGTGCGAGGCAGAGTTTTTGAGTGATGATCGAGTAATGGTCAAGATCAAGCTCGCCGGACGCCACACGGTAGTGGTGAGTGTTACGCGATTCTTTCTTGGCCCTTGCCGCCATCTATGTACATGAGCGGTAGTGCGACGTGATCTGGTAAGGTTCTGTCTGCATTACATGCGCTTCTGTTTCTTTTTCGTGCCTTGGGCATGTTTGTGTTTCCCAGGAGCGCATGGTGCACAAGCCTCCCGCCGCCCATACCAACCTCGCCGACTTTCGCGCGGCAATGACCAATTGTGTCTCGTGCCGTCCAAAAATTTAGGAGGACTTCGTGGAGGCCGGCACGGGGAACCTGCACTACTGTCAGCTCGAGCCGTTCGATGACGACCCCTTGCAAGAGGGGGGCGCGGGCGAGCTAACGGACCTCCACACGCGAGCGAAGACCATATGCAACGGCTTCCTCGGCCCGTTCAAGGTGCGTAGGTTCGCTGTGGTCTTTTGGTGGCTGTGACTTGCATGTGAAGATCCTCTCCTCCCGCCGCCGTTTCAGAGTATCCAACCTCCGTTTTTTTTTGGGCCCGGCCGGACGATGGAAGTCGCTTGAAGTCGTTGTACGTAAGGAGAGAGGTGTTGGGAATTTGGACGTCGTATGTAAATACAGTAGGTGACTTGGTGGTGTTGGGGTGTGCTTCCGTGATCAATCCACATATGCATCTCCACATAAGCACGCGTTGCACCTGTCGTTTGCGAGGTTCGTATTTTCCACTTCTCTGACTTCGGCTGCTCCCCCCCCCCCCCCCCCCCCCCCCCCCCCCCCCCCCCCCCCCCCCCCCCCCCCCCNCGTCTGCCCCTCTGGCCCCTATCCTCCACTTCTACTAGCTAGACAACCCAACCGGGGTCACATAGGAGGGGGGGGCTGGACCCCCTCCTGCGGTTCCTGCCTGAGGTATTTTTATCGCGACAAGGGTACAGCAATCCCTTCCCTCGCGACGTAAGAAGTCGGTCAAGTTTACTAACAACGAGCTTTGCAGCTCGTCGCTTTCATCCTAGACAAGGATTTATTTAGTATAGTGAGAAAAAAACTCACTCTGCCGGGACTCGAACCCATGACCTGGCCCTTAGCAGGTTGCGAGGTTACCCACTAGACCACCGGGGTGACCGGTGTATGTTCGCCCCCGGTTTTGCATGGCAACCGAGTATTGCCTCTTCTCACGTCTTCCCCGCATCGTATAATCGCTCCTGTTTCATTTTTCGGGCCGGTTTTCTATCAAACAGGGCCAGCTTGTGGAGGCGCACGGAAGGATGCCGGAAGACGCGGTGGGCCTGTCGATGTGGATGGCGTCCCTCCTGCCGTTCTACCCCCCGGACAAGCACTCCCTGGTGCGGTCGAGGTGCACGCGACGACGCATGCGCGCCTGCCTCGACTGCGCTGCCTCCATGGAGGAGATGGCTCAAGCGGCCGCCCGACGAGAGGAGAAGAGCTCGACGGGGGACATGTCTGCCGGCGAGGGGCAACAACAGCAACCGCCGCCGCGGCCGTCGCAGCCGGCGGCGGAGGCGGCGGCGGAGGCGGCGGCGGTGGCGGTAGCTCAGGCGGGGGTTTCTGGAGGCTCGGCTAGCGCGTGGGAAGACGAGGGCGAGAGGAGTAGTAGGTCTGCGCGACAGCGGCAGCGCCGGTGAAGTATGTCGTTTTTTGCTATTGTGTCTGTCTGCGTGTTTGTTGTCTCCTTCCCTACTGTGCGGCTGTCGCGCCAGGTTGCTCTTCCTCCTCTTTTTTTTTTGTTCATGTGTTCCCGCAAGAGGGTAGAGTGGCGTGGCTTTCGGCACCGTCGTCTACCACGCCACCACTGTTGGCATTGTTTCGGAGCGTTTGTTCGGCACCGTTGAGAGAGGAGGACATCCCTTTTGCTGCTGCTGCTGCTGTTGAGCATCAGACGGATGCTAGTGCCGCCTGCCGCTGCAGCTGCTGTGGTTGGTCGTGGTGTGGTTGCTGCTGCTGCTCGCCCGTGCGTGTAGGGAGCTTCTCCCCGTACATGTGAAGAGCTTCGATCGGGCGTTTCGTGCTGCGGTCGACGCGCGTTTCTACGCGTTGAGCGTGTTTGTTTATGCCGGCGTCATATTGTGAGCGCCAAACGGCTTGAGGGTTGGCAGGCAACTTGTGTCGTCTGAGAGAGTCCCTAGATAAAGTGTGCGATTCCTTGGCCCTTTGTGGTTCAGCATCTTGAACGGCCTATTGTGTCTCGCACCTCGGGGAAAGGATCACTCTGACGGTGACTGTGAATTCACGGGGTAAACACATGCGGGTGCTAGGGGGCATGGTGTCGTTCGTAGAGTTTGGATCGGTGGGTAAGATGCTGTTGTTCTCGTCACCTCGGCGACACCCATTTTTTTGGGGTAGTTTCTCCCCTTATGTAGTCAAGATTTTTGTTGTGCTGCCTGATGTTTCTTCCCAGTTACCTCGTCGAGGGAAGCTTTCGGGTTTCCGGATGTTTTTGTGCATGTACATCTTTTTTTCCCGGCGAACGTTTTAGGGGTGATGGTGAGAGCGGGCGAGGCGAAAGTGGAGTTCACTATTGCGCGGGTTGAGATTTTGTAGGAAGAATCGTGTGCATGTGACCTTCGAACAACGTACCCTTCATTTTTCATTGCACTGTCCGGAGAAAGGAGATTCAACCCCTGGTTAGGGGCAGGGGTGGGGGGGTGGGGCGTGGAGCCTCGATTGGTGCGAAGCAACAAGCAGCAGCGGTGCCTGGGACGAGATTTGTATGGAATTGAGCACTTGTGTCTTGCGTTCGACACAGGGCAGACATAACGGACAAAGAGCTGATGATTTCCTGGGGGAAAGGGTCGGGCGATATACCGCTGTGGTTGGCTACTGGCCTTTCGTCAGACTGCTGTTCGGCTGGCGTGGCTGTTGCTTCGGTGTGCGTTTCTCTCAAGTAGTATCGACCGCGCCAACCGACTGACCAATGAAGCGAAGACCGTATCTCGATGGCCGGAACTAGGGTACACATACGTACTACATTTGGAGAGCTTGAGCGTTCCGATCGGCGGAGGATTCGTGTGTTTGTATGTGTGTTGTGTGTCTTCATCCTTAGCATCGCGAACCGGCTGGCCAATGGAAATACGTCGTTCTTAGTGCGGCTAAAAACGCTTAGAAGGGCCATAATTTGAGATTCCGTGCAAGGGGGGGGGGGGTCATTGTGGGAGGCTAGGCTATTCTCCGGAGGTTCGGTTTGTATGTGTGCTTGCTTCTTCTGTAACTAGCATCGACCACGCTGTGTGTGTGTGCTTCTTCAAATGGCGTCAGTCTTAGTTGTAGTAGATGGGGACAAGGAACATTCAGAGGCTTGTGTGTGTTAAATGTGTTGCCTCGTGCACGCTCCTTGTCTGGGGTGTGGCGTTGCAAGGGGGTCCGGTGTCAAGGTATTTCGTGTAAGTACCTCTTTTGTGTTCGTCCCCTTGTGTGTTCGAAATCGCATATGGTGGCGATGCATGATGTGCACGCGGTCCTGGTAGATGAACTATGGCACTCTGTACGTTACGATACTCTTTCTTCCTTTCTTGTCGAAACGACGAGGTCTCTTTTCGCGCGCCATGCCGTGAAGTTGGAGATTTCCATGCGACCACGGGAGTAAATTCCCGGTACAAACATGCATTTTTGAAGTATACTGCTGCAGTTCTACCGCTGTATCATCACTGTCGTTATCGCTTGTGTTCTATCTGGCCGTTTACTAAATGCACGCATGTTTACTTCCATGAGATGTTTTCGCTCTCCTCCTCAGAATAGCGAATCGACGTGTGTCTGTCTAATCATCAACGGCGAGGTGTGTGTGTGGAAAAATGTCGAGCTTTACCGTAGACTAAATACACGTATGCACAAACGAAGTACTCACGGTGGGAGTCTCACTTAACTAAGCAGTAGTGATATCTAGTATTGCTGTACCCCTGTATGGACGGTGCAACGGTTCGGTCGCCGGCCGGGAGGCGGCGCGACATGGCCGCCCGGCGGTGTATTACGCTATTGTACCGGGGGAGTGGTTGATCTCTATGATGAGTCTCATGCGCAATGAGTAATGCCTTGTGAATGAATACTACACAAGACGTTCACGAGGTGCTTGTCGAACTCTTCTGCGACGTACCACGCAGCCAAGACAAGGAGACAAGAAAGACTCCTCCGTGTGCAAGACGCTGCAAGACTGACATGCACAGCGATTCTATGGTCCGTGACTTAAAATATATCGGATGGCGCCAATGGGAGCTCCGCATGAAGGAGCAAGGTACCGCTGTAGGTTGTGGGTTCCACCTGCGGTGCACCTTCTGTTGTACTGCTGTATTTATCCGGCATACCTGAACACCCTCAACTCCTCCGTCGTGCGTGGAACATCTCGAGCATCAGCATGCGGTTGGCAAGAACCCCGCGAAGGTCTTTCACTATGCAAGGCGGGAGGAGAGGGAGAGTCTCGATGTCATCATACCAGGTGCACTTTTTGGAGAGATTGCCTCTTGTCTTGCCGGGCTATTGTAGTTGCCCTCTACGGCCGCCTCGCTGTGTGTCTTGTGCGTGGCATGCATGATGATCGAGGGATGCGCCGCCTCCGCACTTGCCGCAGCCCGATCACCCATCGAAATTGAACCACCACCACTCAACGCCATGTAGTAGAGTGCACTTCACCTCTAACAAATAGTCCAATGGGCATTCCCGAAGAAGTACGGAATACCCCGACGCCCCCTGCTTCACAGGTCGACCCGTCACAAAATTAGTCCGCATGCACACATGCACACATGATCGTAACGAGAGCTTTTCTTACAGTACGTTGGGTGTACAGAGTAGACCATGTTGTGCAACTCGCTGTCGGGGTAAAAGCGCAACAGCAGCTGGAAGCTGTGTGAATCGTCCTCATCCGACCAGCCAGCTCATCGAGACACTACTATGTTACCTCTCCCAATATATCTCCGTCGAGGTTTGGGTTTTTCACACGACAGCACAAAAAAAGCACCTCGTTGTTACGGCAGTCAGTGTCTCTGCCTACCGCAGCACAGCGGTGGTAGTAGGTGGCGTCGGTTCGCAATTCAAACACGGCGGTACCCGGTGCCTGGTACACACACAACAGCAGTGAGCGAATTGCTTCAGGGAATGAACCCGAAGCCTCGACGTCGCCCGCCATTTACCGCAACTTGGCGTCGCACTTCAGGTGTTGGGAAAAATGAACACAAAACACAGGAATACTTCCCGTTCGAGATACTGTATACCCACAGCAGTAGTCGATTGTATTGTTGCTGCAAGCCGACTGGCTTCTCGAGTCAGGTTTATTTTCGCCACCTGCTGTCGTGCCCTCCACCGATTTTACGAGAAGCAAGACCGAGGGGCCGTTCGTTTTTCACTGGGGACTTTCTGCTGCCGCCGCCTTCGGCTGTTCCCGCTCGTTAAGCTCGTCCCCAGCCACGTTCCGACGAATGAACGAAAAGCGACCATCATGACGATGTCTATCCGCGGCGGGCGTCCAACCATTCGACGTCTCGTTGTTGCCGATGGTCCGGTTGACAGCGCAGATATGCATAGATCGATCGATCGGTCATGCTTGATTTCGTTCCGAACCAGCGCGATCCTTGGGAGTTGAAAAAACAAGTCGGAACAGCATTCAGTCCCATGGAAGAATGGCCCTAGTCGGCCTTCTGTCTTTGAGTCTTAACGACCCAGAACGACAAGGGGTGCTGAATGGTGGGAGACGGCGGTGGATGCGGACTCCAGAGTCCGAATTGCAGCTTGAAAAGTCGCGTATACCGCCGAAAGAAGGTTTAATGTACGGCGCGAGTCTCAGCCAATCAGCTGTATTTCCGAGACTAAATCGTCGTGTACCGTCAGTTTGTTTTGTCGCCAAAACCGCCTCTTGTAGCGCGAAGTAGATTCTCCGTCTTGTCGCTCACGTTGCTGGATAGTTCTCACCCTCTACATCGCTTAGCGGGCGTGTGGCAGCGGCGGCCCCGCGATGTTGGAGGAGGATACACCAACTTTCAACTTTGGCAGACCACACTTGCGGAGAGAAGCGATACTCCGGAGGTCCACAAGACTACCAGACATCCGCAGGATGGATGTTCGGTGGGACTCTCCCGATCCTAAACAAAACCGGGGAAAAGTGAGAATATCTGAGACGAATTCGTCATCTCCAATACATACGTAATCTTTTATTTGTGATACATGCGCCTAGAGCTACAGGGGGCGGTTTTCTGCCTGACCCTGCCGTTGCCTACATTCATTTCGAGATCCGCGCCACGCAGGCGTCGGGCTCGTACTGTTCGGCGTTGTTATGTGTGCAGAGGTCGTGAAAAGATCGAAGACAAGTGTTGGGAGAGAAAACAGACGTCGACTACCCACGGCTCCACCTTATTGTACCGACGTACAACGATGACGATGATATGGACCCCTAGGGAGCACAACTGAACAAGGCGGGAAGGCGGCTGGCTGGTTGACTTGGAGGTCGTTAGGCGCCGGTCCAGCCGGGGTGACGCAAAACGATGCCTTCCTTCCTCTGCAATGCAGACAGACGAAGACTTAGACTACTGCCGTAGCGTGCACGTGGATCGCGTGTAGGAACCACGCTTGTCCTTGGGTTGTGGCAATCACGCAACTGGCTTTGTTTCGCACGCAGAATGGTCCCAAACCATGACGTGCAGCAAAAGTCGTGCCGAGGCCCCTCATCGATCCCCCCCGCCCCTTCCCCCTGCCCACCTCCTCGTCTGCTCGATCTGGCTACACACACGGAATAGGCCCTATGTGCTTTGTGCATGGGGGCGGGCCTTTTCATAGTCTGCATGCACTGGCGCCCCGAAGTTCAGGACTTTCCCATGGAGAACATCCCGGCGGGGCAGCCCCCGAAGGCCTTGAGAGGAGACGACATTGTTGTTGCGGAGCCATTGCAACCTCCAACTCCAGGGGAGGAAGAAGAAGGTGGGAATGCTAAAACTACCGGGGGGGGCATCTTGTTGTTGTTGTTGTTGTTGTTGTTGTTGTTGTTGTTGTTTCCGCTGTTTCTACTGCTGCTGGCGTCGACAGCCTTGCGCAATTCAGAGCAAGCGTGAAGATTATGGAGGGCGTTCTGGGTTTGTGTGTGAGTGCATTTTTTCTTTTTTCGTGTCCGCGTGATGCACGAGAGTGTGGTCGGAGCTTTTGACTTTCGTTCTCGAAGACGGTCGCCGACACGAACAACTACAGTACCGTACTCCACTCGAAGCGGTCACCTTTTTTTGGACGGTTTTATATTTCGTTCTCCCCGCCGGAGACTTGAGAACAAAAAGAAAGATGCCGCTCCAGGATATGGCGAAGGGGCACGTGAAGTGAATTAGGTACCCTCTGTATGGGTCGGATATCAAAGTTCCAGTCCAAGTGTTTTGCAGGCCGCCAACATCGATGTGCATAAATTCTTGCCCTCCTTAACAGGTACGTTTGTCCTGGTCGTGTCTCCCTTCAGTTTCGCCCTCGCCCCCCCCCCCC